GCCGCTCCCCAGCACGGGGTGGCCGAGCGGAGAGGAGCCAGGGAGAAGCTGCGATGGCAGCCACTGGGGGTGTCACGGCTCTGCCCCGTTCCGCAGGCTCTCCGGGGGCAGACAGTAGCAACAGCAATGAACCAAGAGGAAGCGGCAGTCAGGAGTTACCAATCATTTATAACAAACCAAACCAATCTATATACAGAATAACTCCAGCGTAGGGTCAATGGGAAATGCAGCCCCTCCCTCGCCCCCCCATCCCCCCATGGCAAGTGTAGCCATGTGTGATTGGCTCCAGCCCTTTATTCAGTGTGTATATGGATCACGCTTGACACAGGCCCATTGGGAGGAAGAGGAACCAGGGCTCAGCTGATCCCGTGGGCTCCTCCAGCCCTCCCGGCCTTTTGTGTGGGGACCTGGCTGCAATTGGATTTAGAGCTGTCAAACCTAGACTCTGCCAAATTGTGTCCCCTTCCATGGGTCTGTCCCTGCCCCTCTCTCTTCTCCGTCCTCTGTACACATGCTCCATGTTGGACTCCTTCGGTTACCCTGAGTCCATTGCTGGGCACTGGGGCCGCTGTCTGGTGCTCCTAGGTTCTGTTCCCGGCTCTGACTCTTGTGCCTTGAGGAATGGGATTAATGGCTGTATAAACAGGAATGATCCCCTCCCAGCACTCACACTACTGGTTCTGGTCAGACTCACCCTCCTGGGATTTGCCCCTCAATTCCTGAGGCAGCACTTGTACTTACAAATATAAATAAATCATAACCTCTCAAGCTGTTCCTACAGATTCCCTCCTGCCTCTAGTTTTCTTGGAGCTTTTTATAGTCCTGAACTGTAGCTAATGAGACCCACCTGTTCTGGCTGCCATGGTGAGTCAGCAAAATAGCTCTGTGCATCTTAAATACAGGGTCTTAAAGCCTGGCACCTGATCACAGTGCTACTTACTGAACTCTCAGGGCTGTACTGAGGCTTGGTTGGTGTCTGTAAAATTCTATATAAGAGATGGGACTGATCCAGACTTGGATTTGAGCATCGCCAGAGTTCAGGAGTGTTTGGATCTGAGGGTACGGTTGGGGACCCCCATGCTTGAGTAGGTCTTTCCCCCTCCCCACCAGAGGGAACACTGCCCCAAGAATGACCAAGGTCTTTGTTCAGCAAGAGTCCCACCAGCAATTTAGCTCTCACCCACAAGCTCCGACTTTCTCGCCGTGCAAAATCTGTGCGTGGAATTGAATTGTAATAGTTCTATGAAAGAACCTCCAGGGCCAAATACATTGATTCCCAAGGGAGTTCCACTGGTTTACACCAGAGATGAATGTGGTGACCCTGTGTCTAAAACTCTGCCAGGGACTCAACTTTTTGGCTGGTCTTATCTTGTGTCTTAGAAACCAAACAGGAGGGGGAGCGACAGCCTGATGCTGATATCATGTAATTTCCTTCTCCCCTTCTACCCCCATCCCCTGCTGCACAGCTCTGCTGCTCCGGGACTTCCTTCTTATCACCCCTCCCAGTGGATTTCCACTTACAGAGCAGCTGATATCTCCTGGGAAACGTGGAGAAATCTTATGCGCAGAAACACTTCTGCTCCCACCTCTCTCAGGTAGAGCTCAGTCCGAGGGATGAAACTGGCGAGTTCTTCTCACTAGGCCAAATCCATCCCTGGGGTAAGCTCCGCTGAAGTCAGTGCTCTCGAGTCTCCTCTCACACCGGTGTAGATCAGGAGTAACTCCATTCAGTGGGGCTACAGCGGTGTAAAACCAGGGTCAGAGAAGAATCAGGCCCAGTGAATTTAGTCTGATAAATGAATACGATGAATGCCTGCATCTCCCTATACAGAGATTGTTATTTGAACCTCCCAAGGACTAGGCCCTGGGTCAGCTCAGGACCCCACTCCCGACTTCCCTAGGGTGGGACAACCTGCTACACCTACTAGCCTGGGAGGAGTTTGGGTCCCATCGGGACAAGAGTTCCAGGTTACACACTGGGGGCTAAATTTTCCTCCCCGTCACGTCAGCACAAGCCCATCGGGCCAGATCCTGATCTCAGTGACGCTGGTGTAAATCCAGAAGAGCCAGGGCCAAATCCTGCTCTCACTGAAGTTCATGGCAAAACTCCTAAGTGGGGCTAAATCATTCTCTCCTCAAAGTCAGGCGTAGGGGCCAACTGGAAGGCAAAACTCGCGGGGCCAGCTCCTGAGCTGGTGGAAATGTGACTTCGCTGCAGGCAAATGAAGTCAATGGGGTCAGACTGCTGGACAGCAGCTCAGGATCTGGCCCCCGGTGACTTCAGTGGGACCAGGACTTTGCCCCTATGCTGGTGTAACTGTGATCAGAATTTGGCCCAATGGCCCTTGCTTTTGTTGAAGCTTTGCAAGAAGCCCCAGCTGCTCTTTAAAGAGTCGTTTCTAGGGCATCTCAGGCCAGCTGCTTCCCCACACCCCGCCCCGCCCCCCGGCGCCAGCCACTCAGATTTTGATTTCAGTCCGGAAGGTCTGCTGGACGTGCTCTGTGTGTTTGGCTGGGTGCCGCCTGGCTTTGACGGTGAGGGTGCCATCCACGCCCAGGGCAGAGGTGACGGAAGTGGGGTTCACGTCTTCAGGCAGCTGGCACTTGTGGGTGAAGGTGTTCATGACGGTCCCGTCCGCGGCTAGCTGGAAGGGAGAAAGAAACAGAGGTGGGTCATGCTGGTGGCTACAGCACGGGCTGGCACGGCGCTTTTTGTTTGCCCCAGGCCATGGGTGAAAGAAGATGGCCCCTGGGCCAAAAGGAGGTTGCTTCTTTAGGGCAGAGTAGAAGAGTAGGGAAAGCAGTTGTCTGTTCTGGCTCTGCCATTCCCTGCTTGTGACCTTGTGTGAGTCCCTTCCCTGCCCCTTGTGCTTTCTAATCAGATTTACCTGCTCCCCAGGTTTGGTGGGAGGCACCTGAGTGCCTTGGACTGGGTAGGGAGGGAGTGGTTAAAGGGGACTGGGAGTCATGACGCCAGAGCCCTGTTCCTGGATCGGCCGCTATGCACCCTCTGCGCTCTGGTGGCCCCATCTGACAAATGGACCGAATGCCGACTGACTGCTGGGGTGGGCTGGGAGCTTAATTCATAGGGTTGCCAACTTTCCAATTTCTGAAAACCGGACGCCCCTGCTCCGCCCCCTTCCCCCAAGGCCCTTCCCCCTCCCCAAGGCCCCGCCCCTGCTCACTCCTCTCCCCTCCAATCAAAACAAAAACACCGAAACGCCAAAGCAGGAATTATTGCAGAAAATGGCACGTTTCTGACCCCTTCTTTCGCTCTTACAACGTGGTCTGAGGAAAGGCGTGGGGCGAAGATATTCAGATTTGTCAGGGGACTCTGGGAAGTGTCATGGAGTTGCTCACTACTATACAATAATCACCGGTACCGATATCCCTAACCCTGCACCGGACTAGAGCTGGCATAGAAAAGCCTGGTGCCAGAACAACCCTTCGACGGAGAACAGTCGGGCTACCGAGCGTTACTACACAAGTCCTGTGCGTCATGAAATATGAACACAGCAAATGCATGTCAGCCACAGAAGCTGCTCTGATTCCCCCTCTCCCCCTACGCAAAACATGGACTTTCGCTGGCTGCGTTTTCATTTTGGCTGAAAAGTTCGTTCTTGCCCCCTTCACCAAGCGCACACTGAGACCAGGGGACGCGTTCCTCTTTGTGCTGTACAGAGAAAAGGTCCAAGGGGGCCAGTCCCGTGATAACCCCAACAAGGCAGCGGGTATTTAGGATCCTCTTTAAGACACATCATTGAGGGAGGAGGGAGAGGAAAGGAAGAATGTAGGGAGAAGGGGAGATACTGACTCTACTGAGCTAAACCTCCAGCGCCCCCCCAAAGGTTCCTAAAAACGTTAAAGACCTTTAAATAAACTCCATTTCTGACACAATGACACCTCCCCCCCCACACACACATATCCCCACCAGAGGCGAGGATACAGCACATAGTAATTTCAGGGTGTTGGGATCTGGGTGTGGGGCATTGTGGTCTCCATGTTTCCCCTGAGGAATGAGGGAGAGAGGAGCTGGCCCTAGGCGCTGCAAAGGGGTGTGTGTGGTGGGCCGGGTGCAGGCCCGGGAAGGGGGGTGAGGCTCAGAGCCAAGGCGGCCCCATTGGGGGAACAGGGTGCATGGGGCTTTTGTAGCCGCAGGGGCTGGCTGGGGACACAGCGGCTCTAGGCGGGGGGGGGGGGGCATGGAAGGGGGCAGCAGCGAGGTGAAATGCTGCTCGCAGCCTGCTCCCTCTGCCAAGTGGCAGGCGGAGCCCCTCCACCCAGGGGAGCAGGGATTCTCCTGCCGGGGCTGAGCAGGGACCCCCTTTTCCTCGGGCTGCCCCAGGTGCTGGGCAGGGGGCACAGCAGGTGCACGGAGGAGGAGGAGGGGTGCCCTGTCCTGGCTACTCACCCGTGCAAGGTGGTAGCTGTCGGCGGCGTGGCGGGGTCGCTGTCCGGGGGTCGCCAGGGGCCGCGGGGCAGGAGCAGCAGCGGGAGCGGGGGGAACAGTGGAGCCCGGGCTGCTCCTGGGCGCGCTCTTGCTGCCCATCCCCGGTGCTGCTGCCACTGGAGGCGGCGGCGTGTGAGACGTGGGCGCACGCTGGGGGAGCAAAGGAGGAGGGCACGGCCGCTTGCTGCTCCTGGCTCTATGCCACGATCCCCTTGCAGCGCCTGTCTGTCCGCCTGCTTGGCCCCAACTATCCCGGCAACCCTGCAAGCGGCAACCAGGCTTTGGCTGTCCGGTCAGTGTTTCTGACCGGACACTGTCAGGTGCCATTTTCGACTGGACGTTCCGGTCGAAAACCAGACACCTGGCAACCCTACATTCGTTCCTGGTTGGAAAGCGCTTTCTGCTCCGCAGACGGAAGGTGCTGGAGATGGGCAAAGGCCTGTTATTGTGGGGAAGGCCTGTCTGTGCGTCTTCAGAGGCACTGCTGGGCCTGCTCCATGGTGGGGCGGCCACACGCCTCTTGGAGCGGATGGCATTGCTCTCACAGGTTGTGCGCAGCGTCAACGGTTGCGTATGAGCTCTAGGCCCGGAGGAGCTCACATCTACTCGAGTAACCAGCCCCTCCCAAGAGGTACCACTGTAGGGAGTGTTGAAGGGGGCATGGCTGTGGGACAGCTGTAGCTCACAGCACCTCCTAGTGGCAGAGGCTAAGACTGAGGTGGTTGTGAGCTCCCCAAACCGTTCTCTACAGCGCCTCCTGCTGTATGGGGCTGATTGTACTCATGTGCACAGCCACTGCATCCTACCTACAGCGCCTCCTGCTGGAAGGGGCTCGGTGGCAGTAGCTGTAATCTCCCCATACCCAGCGCTTGTGCACCATTCTCTAGTGTCTCCTGCTGGGAGAGGCCGGGACTGGAGTAGCTGAGAGCTCCTTCCTAGCCAGAGCTCCTGCAACATACACGACAGCGCCTCCTGCTGGAAGAGGCTCCTGCTGCAGTAGCTGCATATTCCCTTTCTCCCCCCACCCACCCAGATAGTGCATCTGAGTTGTTCCCGGAGGTGTTTCCAAACAAGGAGGCTGGAGCTGCCGTCCGAATGGAAGCACAGTAGAGTCTGGGGAAGGTTACATCATTCTGCAGCTCCCACTGGAGTGATTAAGAGCACATCGTTAAAGCACAGTGGACCGTATCTCCATGGATACTCTCCAGAACATAGTGTCCCCAGAACCTGGCCTCGGAGTGAGCAGATGTCAGTGCACATGAGCAGCACAGAGCCCTTGAATGGCAGAGAAGATCAGTATGTACCAGCCAGCCTCATAATGAATTTAGCACCAGGGAGAGGTGACAGCGCTGGAGAATGTTGTCCTCATGCCCTATATATCCCCAAGACGGGCGCAGCCCGGGCAGTCGCAGGGCAAGTTTCCCCGGTATTGTCCCGTTGCCAGTGTGCTTTGCTGCTGCCCTAGAGGGACCTCCTCTGGGGCGGAGAGGGCAGCATGAATAGCCTAGGGGGTCTATCCTGTGCTGGTCTCTGCTGCCAGTGCTGGTGGTGTGATTTAGGGTCCTGCCTGAGACCCATCAAACTCATGTCATATGATGGCCTCCAGACTGCCCTTTAATCAGTGACATAGCCCTGTACCCGGTGCCTTATGCACACTCCATACCACATGGCCCTTGCCCTGAAGAGCAGCTCACAATCGCAGTGAGGACAAAGCCAAGAGAACAGGTGAGGTCAGCTCGGATGTGAGGGCTACTGAGGGTGAGATGGGAAGGGAGTCGGCCGCGAGAAGAAGGGGGGGCTCTGAACAAGCGGAAAGAAGATGCCTAATAGGTGAGACCAGCTGTCCAAAGGGCAGGATGCTAGAAGACACCAGGCCCAGAGTGGAGAGAAGAGAAGAGAGACGTGAGTGGAGCAGGATCTCCAAGGGGTGGGTAAGGAAATTGAGTCTGATGGGGTGAAAACTATCAGGTGATCCTAGCGTTCAGCACCCTGGGTCAAGTGCAAACCAGCAACAGGCAAAAGGCTCTACAGCCCAGTAATGGTCCCCTGAGCCAGGCGGCCTGTTGCTAACTGCACTCTGGAGTGATCCAGGAGCTCTGCAAGGTGGTGGGCCTGGCAGCTGCTCCAGCGAGCTGCAGCGGGAAGGATGATCCAGGCCTGGGAATGGGGCCCACGTGCCAGGAGGAAAACCCTGGAGCGGCCGGGGAGGGGTTAAAGAAAGGAAAGAACTGATGGCAGGTGGCCCGGAGCCTGATTCTCCTCTCACTCAGGCGGATGTAAATCAGGAGTCACTTCACTGAAGTCAGCGGCGTGACACCAGCGTATGTGAGAGGAGATCCATGCCCAGGTCTTCTGGCACTCCCAAAGCAGGTACAGAGACGCCAGCCTGCGCTCGCTCTGGGACGGCATCTCCCAGCACCCATCGCGCTCTGCCCCCAAAGGTGCTGGGGGGGGGATGGTAGAGGGTACAGAGAAGGGAGCTGTCATTCGAGCTGCCACAAAAGGGTGGCACTTGACTTTGGGGCGATAACAGCATTTACCATCTTAGGCCAGGTGCCACCCTAGAGTGATCAAATGGAGCAGTGTGTGTGAAGCAATCTCGGGCTTCCCAAAGTACCCGCAGAGAGAGGGAGCTGTGGGAAGGGAGGGATCTGACCCAGCTTTCCCATGCTTCCTCTGGTGGGTAACAGATCAAGTTTGATTCTGGTCTCGCAGACGTGTAAATCACCAGCCACTCTAGTGAAGTCAATGCAGCCCCATTGGCATAAGTGGACCAGAACCGGGCGTGCCTGCTCCGAACACAAGCTCTGAGTGCCAGATGCTGGACAGAACCTGCCCTGCCTGCTGCAGAATCTCCTGCAGAGCCCTCGCTCAGCGCATCGCCCTGCTCCAGCCTGGGGCAGCGATCTGTGTTGGGACGAGATGGGGCAAGGTGGTGGTGCAGGGGCACACGTATCCCAGCGTGGTGACCTGACCAACGAAGCCCACAGGACCAGCTGTTAAAAGTGAAAACGAGAAGATTCCACTGGGACAAGCACCCTGAGCCCCAGATACTGAACTGCGCTTAGCCAGACCCGCAGGGTTCAGGTCTAGAGCTTGGCCTGGAAATCCCCCAAGATCAAGATGGTTAAACCTCAAAAAAAAGAGACAGGGCCGGTTTCAGACTGAGGGGAAGAGCTGGGGGTAACAGGCCCATTTAAAGGAACTGGACTCAGGGCCATGTGTTCCCAGCTGGGCCAATGAAGAGGGCGGGGCAGCACCTGGGGGCTATAAAAGACCAATCAAGTGTCTGGCAGGAGAAGAGAGCTGTTAGAGAGAGAGGGTGGTTTCAGGGAGAAGGTAGGAATGCAGCAAGGGGGTTTGAGCCAGGGCGGGAAGCAGGCAGAACAAGATGCCTGCTGGCTTGGAGCTGGGGCTGAGGGCCAAAGACAGGGAAACAATTGGGACTTACCCACGGATGTCTCCTTGCTGGAGGACTGGACTGAGAGGGCCAGGGGGAGCGAGGGATGCTCCCAGCAGCGAGGCTGTGGGGGTTCCTCTGGGAAGACCAGGGTTGCACCCCAGAAAGAAGGGTTGGGGTGAGGGTCCTGGCAGAGGGCTGGAGGCGTGGCCGAAGACACTGAAGTCTGGTGAGAGTGAAGCCAGGTTTTAAGGGCTACGTGTGCTGGGGGTGGTCTGGACTGTTTTGGGACTATGGGTTAGGGATTGTTTGCACTATTGAGGGACTAGAGGATAAGCTTCTGCCAAGTTGGTAGGGACTCAGAAAGGAAACTGGGGTGAGGGGCCACTTGCAGGGCTGTCCTGGGGGGGAGGCCCTTTGTTTACAGCTGGGTTTGAGTTGTGGGGGTGGAGGCGCAGGGTCAGGCTCAGCCTGAGCTCGGGGCTGAGGTCTGGGTGGAGATTTGGGACAGGGTCACTGAATTTTGGATGAACACATGGCCTGGGGCTTGGAGTAAACCCCTGTCTTGTCCTGCCCAGCCCACCGTGCCCACGACTCCTACAAGACTCGGTCAAGGGGACAGCTCCACCCTGGGCAGAGGGAGTGGCCAGTGCTGCTGCTCCAGGCCCTGTTCTCCTGTGCACATGGAAGGCCGCTGTGGCGGAGCCACTCACCTTCTCGGCGTGGACCTCGATCTGGTTGTTGGAGGTGGTGACAATGATGTCCTCGGGGGAGAAGTCGCTGACGTCCACGGCAAACTGGTAGGTGTCCCCCAGGGTCTTAATGTTCCCCATGTTGCCTGGCCGGGCTGCGGGGAGAGGAAAGAACAAAGTGAATCACTCCTGATCCCTGTGCAGAGATTTCTCCCTGTGCCCGGGGTGGATCAGGGCCCATCCCAGGGTGACATGGGAATCCAGCTCTTTACCAGGAGCTGCCGTATGCAGCTGTACAGGTGGGTATGGAAATCTGGGGGGGTTTCTTATCTTTGACTGGAGCAAAGGAAAATGGTTCCCTGCCCCCACCACTAGATATTGGGCATGATCCCAAACCCACTGAAGTCGGAGGGAGTCTTTATGGATTTTGGATCAGTATTAGTGGAGTAATGGTCTCAAGTTGCAGTGGGGGAGGTTTAGGTTGGATATTAGGAAAAACTTTTTCATTAGGAGGGTGGTGAAGCACTGGAATGGGTTACCTAGGGAGGTGGTGGAATCTCCTTCCTGAGAGGTTTTTAAGGTCAGGCTTGACAAAGCCCTGGCTGGGATGATTTAGTTGGGGATTGGTCCTGCTTTGAACAGGGGGTTGGACTAGATGACCTCCTGAGGTTCCTTCCAACCCTGATATTCTATGACCCCTCTTGCCTTGTCGGTAACCCCAGCCTGGAGCCGTGTACTCACCAGAAAAGGGTTCTGATTGTCAGTGCTATGAAAGATGGATGTCTCTTTATGGCAGTGGGGGGAAGAATGCTTGGGAAACCAAGGACTTGACTTTCAAAACTGCTTGTGCAAAGAGACTCATCAAGCAGTGCATGTGCAAAATTGTTTGTGCAGTTGTGCGCTTGATTTGCGCACAAAGTTACTGTGATTGCATTTGCACAAGCAAAGGTGGCAGTTATGCATCTAACTGTCCGTCTGCATTTGCAATGACCAGATTCACATAGGAGTAAGGGAATAGCCACAATCAGACCAATGGTCCGTCTGGGCCAGTAGCCTGTCTGACTGTGGCCAGTACAGGATGCTTTAGAGAGGGGTATAAGACCCTGTATTGGACAATTATGGTGTAACCTATCCATGGAAGTTCTTCCTGAACCAAGTTAGTGGTTGGCTAAGGCCCTGAGCATGAGTGTATTCTTCATATGCATTTTTATCCTCATTAAGGTAGCTGAATGTTCCCATATCCACAGAAATGCCTAAACCCTTTTTGAATCCTACTGAGCTGTTAGCCTTAATGACAATCTTGTGCCATGAGTTCCATGGGTTAATTATGCATTATTTCCTTGTATTCGTTTTCCATTGCTTGCCTCCTAAAGTCATGAGCTGCAAACCTTCACATGCAACTATTCCAGGGTAATGCTGGTGGGTTCTGCCCTTGCTTTGACATTGAAGGTCTCTTCAGCAAGGAGTTGCACATTGAAACGAGCTCACTTTCCTTCTTTCACCAACCCCAGTTTTGCTCCGATTTCGTCTGTTTTGCTCTGGGATCTTCCCTCCAAAAGAAATACCAGAGCAGTGGCCCCAGCCGTGCAGCAGGTCCCGGTTGTAAGCGGGGATGTTTAGGATCACCACTACAGAGTAGTGCAGTGGAATGGGCCTGATTCTGCTTTCACTTGCCACTGGTGTAAATCTGGAATAAGTCCATTGGAGACAATGGACTTGTATTGGAGTAAGTGGCAGCAGTTCTGTTCCTATGCTGCGCGTCAAGCTCAGCTTTCAACACCAGGATCTGCCTTGTGATGAGTTTGCGGTTCTCAGCTTTGTTCGTCCTTTTTTTGAGGGAGTGGAGGGGCAATGGCATTATTTCGCCACCTCTGGAACTGATGGCTGCCAGGTGGGCCCAGGCTCAGCTGTGATGCTTGTACAAAACCCTTCTGGGACAGTTCTGCTGCAGTCGTTAGCTGGAGTCCCACTTTGCTCCGTTATCTGGTCAGTCAATAAAAAGCTGCGTTTTCCGGGGCTGAGTCTGTCCTCACTCAGTCGAACTGCTCCCAGCAAACCACTCATCCCCCCTCCTGTCTGCGAATCGCCCACAGTCGCACCCCGATTTTTACCAATTTGTCCATTTTATGCAAAAATCACCCAATAAACGGGAGAACTTCCAGCCTGCCCTTTGCCTCTGAATTGTTCACCTGGACCCAGCGCTGTTCGGTAGTAGGGGTGGACTTCACCCCGGTGCAGGGGGCCCCATCATGCATCACTTATGCGCTTGAGTCACGCACAGACCACTGCAGAGAGGTCAATGTGCCCCAAGGGGATTGGTTGCCTGGGTAAGTCACATGACATTGGTTCTCTTTCTGTTTCCTCACAACATGGATTTTTTTGGTTTCTTGAACAATTGACTTTTGGCTCCAAGACTCGCTTTCATTGGCTCTCTGGGCAAAGGAAACGTCCCTTGTGCCCGGGCTGGTGAAAACCATCAAAGCCCCTCGGGGACACTTAGCCAGATAAATCTCCTCAAATGCTTTTTCGTAGAGTTGGTCTGTCCTGCCCCTTATGGACTCTCTCTACTGAAACACTTCAGAGGGCCCCTGAGATGGGAGCAGAAGTTTTCCTCTATATTCCTCTGGCTCTTTCTGTTGTCCCCCTTCCCTGTCCATACAGATCCGCTGAGAAATCAGGGGCATGAGGGTAAGGCCCCTGCCTCTGGGTGACATGCTGGTGAGGGCATAGAGGTGGTTCCCCAGATACCCTCAGACAGCACCCCTTCTCCTCTGACAGGCCCCTATTCTCCATGGAAACCAAGGCTGCCTCTGGCCGTGGACGTCAATTCCCGCTATTTCCCAACGGACGTCCCCTTGAACACCTGCTCGGGCTGTCCCAATGCTCTTACAAGAAACACCAGGAGGTTCCCAGGGTCTGTCAGCCACCAGCTGCACTCTGACCCAACAGGCACCCCCCCCATGAGTCCCGTACAAACACCCAGCAACTGGGGGCAAGCCCGGATCCCTTGTCTCGCTGAGTCCAGCACAGCATGGGCGACGTGGTCTCTTTCCCACACGTAAAGTGGCAAACCAAGGATTAGGAGGCGCTGCAGTCACTGTCAAGGCAATCCCTGGGGGAATGAAGGGGTTGCGTTTCCTCTCCCCCTGAGCCCACCAGCTTCTGATGTCCATTGGGGTCTCCCTCAATGCAGCTGCACGGCTAATGCATTTACACGTAGGTCTGCCCCTCACCAACCTCTCGTAGGGTAGCGCCTCCATCAGGATTGGAGTGTCTGGGAGCTCTTCCCCGGTTTGCACTCCTGCCCCACACCCTACAGCGCAGCCCCATGGCCAGTGCTCCTAGAACATCTGCTGCCGGGGAGCATGGAAACGTTTCTGCCCATCGTGTGGATCCGAGTAGCCTCCCAAGAGCTGGAACTGCCCATTCCTGACTTCCTGCTTTCCCCCTTGAAAACAGGCGGGGAATATGCTGGGAACAAGCAGCCCAGAGGAAACATCCCCCATGCTGGGAGGTCCGGACATTTCCCCCCCACCAGCTGACTCCTCCTAGGAGCCCAGGTCTCTGGCTGCAGGAGTCGTGACTCCCCAGTTGCTGCTCCATGTTGTTTGGTACAGCTCCCGGTGCTGGGACAGGCTGCGCCCCTACACTGCCCTGCCAATCTCTACACAGCCCCCCCTGCTGACATGAGGCCAGGCCTGGAAAAGTTGGGGGCCTCCCCACAGCCAGCATCTTAAGCTGGGATGCGCCTCCCCATGCCCACGCTCCTGCGCCCTCCCCTAGAGTGCCCCCTGCTGGGAGAACCGGAAATAGCGTAGGTGTGAGAGGCCCCCTCGTTCAGGGCCCCTCCAGCTTGCTCTGTTGTGCCTCTTGCTGGGGGCAGCTGAGGCTGGCGTGTCTGTGAGCTCTTCCACACTCGGCCCTCCTGCTCCGCTCCCTACCGCCTGGACTGCTGAGGGGGGAGAGAGGCAAAAAAGGGGCCGGGAGCTTCCCTCCACCAGCCCATGGTGAGACTTCAGGAGCTGGGGTAAGGACGGCGGTGAGAAAAAGCCCTTTAGTGCTAAGGGACGTGCACAAAGGACCAACTGGGAGACTAGACAGTTGTTCAGTAGAAGCAAGTTTTACCCCCATAGATAGAAGCAAGCACCCGCTCGCTCTGCCAACGAACACCTTGATTTCCAGCCACCGCCGCTGCCCGCTTTGCCCCCCTTCCCGTCCCGCGCGCAATCAATGCTGCCAGATCTCGTGCCCGCTGGCAGGTGCCAACTTGCCTGGGAACACCAGGGGCTCGTTGCGCGGCCTCAGGAAGTTCCCGAAGTCGTCGCCGAACAGCCCGCGGGCTTTCTCCATGTGCTGATCCCGGGCGGGGGTGGGCGAGGAGCTCTGGTGGAAACTGCGCTCCGAGCGGAAGGCAGAGGAAGATTTCAAGCTCATTCACCTCCAGGGCCTTGTGGAGGGCGGGGGAGGGAGAAACAACCCACCAATCAACCAACCACAGGTGTGGGGGGAAATCCTCTTCTCTCCTCCTGGATGAAAATGGGAATCGGAGCTTGTTCTGGGTGTCCCTGCCACTGTCCCCTTTATAGCAGGCTGGGTGGATGGAGCCAGCACAACTCAGAGGCAGCTGATGGGCTTATAAAGCCCCGTTAGGTTCTAGGCTGCCTTCCAGCCCTCTTGAAATCAGGCTAAATTTAGGTGCTTCTGCATCACTCGGGCGGCCGTGGAAACTTTCCCCTCCGCCAGGACTCCAAACAAACAGAGCAGGGAGGAATCTGATCTCATTGCTGGCATTCCAGCCCGCCTGGATAATGCAGCTCTCGCTGGCTCCTGGCAGGCTGCTGTGGGCTGATGGCCCAAAAAAAGGAAGCGTGTGTGGGGGGGAGTGATACATGCGAGCTCTGATGGGCAAGGGATGTGTATCGCTGTCAGAGTGTAATGTCCATTCTGGGATGACTGGGGGACGATGGGACACACGGCTGCATTAATAATGCCCTTCTCTCGTCTGAGGGTCTGCAAGCACCTCACCCCTCACGGGAGGTAGGGGGGTGCTATCTGTGTTAGGGAAACTGAGGCACAGCAAGGGGACGGGACTGGCCCAAGGTCACCCAGCAAGCCGACAGCAGAGCCAGGAATAGAAGCCAGGCTTTGGCACAGTTTTCCTTGATGACCCGACTTTTCCCATCTGCCAGCCTTTGCTTGTCCCTAAGCACCTGGGAAATGTCCCAATGTCCAGGGCAAGGTGAGGTTAGTATTGTGGAGAGGAGGTCTGGGCTCTGCAGCGGCCCCTTCCAGAGGCAGTGGGTAAACAGGAAGGGCAGGTTACTGGCTGCCTTTCGCTCCTCGTGCAACAAAAAGAACAGGCACAGTTAGATCATAAATGAACCTGATGATTGTCACAGAAGGGAGCTGAGTCACTCTGAGCCGAGGCTCCTTCTCCTAGTATGGGGTGGGGGAAGGAATTGGCATGAGCCGGGGCAAAGAAAGGAGGATGGATTAATAATGGGGCGCTGTGGAGCAGCTGGAAGGCTTCTGCTCCTGGGGAGGTGTGGCCAGAAGAGAGAATTTAGACCGGGGAGAGAGAGCGTAAAAGATCTCTGAAAATGGAGCTGCAAGGTAGGGAAGGGGCTGGTGGGGGAAGAGCTGGGGCAGCAGGCCCTGGAAAAGAAATAGTGAGAGATCCTGAAAGAAGGCCTGAGATTGAGACTGAATCTAGGTCTGCCAAGGGGCTGAGAGTGCACCAGGCAACAAACCCTGACGGAGAGTTTGGGGCTGAAAGGGGGGAAGAGGGCCTGTGCACCAGGGCCTTGAAACAAGGGCTGGGACTCCCCTGAGGCAGTCCTGGGGCCCAGGCGGCGTTGTGAGGAAGTGGACTAAAGATCCCAGACCCCCGGTGGTGAAAGAACAATACTTACGATGGTTGTACTGAGTGCTGAATGACTTGGCAATAGTGATGGGTTCCCCCCGGGGTGCCACCTGGAACTGGGGTACCACTGAGCCCCCCTGGTCCACCAGCCTGGGCTCCCTTCTGCACTATACTGCTGTAACAAGCTGCCAAGCCCTCCAGGCTTCAGCCTGCACTTTCCCCAGCATACATACAGGTAGGGACACACCCAGCTGCAGTTACATGCAGACGCTCTGACCAGCCCCTGCATGGGAAGGCTTCAGCTATGGTACTTCCCAGCTCCTCCGGCACGTACCCCCTCTGGAGTATAGACCCAAAATTATATCGTCTTGTGCTGCACAGGGAACCGTACAGCGTAAGCTCATGACATTTGCCCCCTCCCTCCGTGTGAAGAGGAATATGCAACAGGTTTCTGCCCCAAGTTATGACTCCCACATACTAGGTTTAGATAAAGCAAAAACAAATTTATTAACTACAAAAGATGGATTTTAAGTGATTATAAGGGATAGCAAATAAATGAAAGCCGATTACCTAGCAAATAAACAAAAAAATGCAAACTAAGTTTAATATACTACATAGATCTGATATGAATAGCAAATTCTCAACCTAAGTGATGATACGAGCGGGCTGCGTATTCTTAAGGGGGAAGCTGCACTTGCTTACAGCTTGGAATCCCCAGGTGTTCCATTCACAGGCTAAAAACCCCTTTAGCCTGGATCCAGCACTTCCTCCAGTTCAGTCTTTGTTCCTCAGGTGTTTCCAGGAGTCTTTGTGGGTGGGGGAGTCCGTGAAGAACCAAGATGATGTCACTCCCCTGCCTTATATCACTTTTGCATAGGGCGGGACCCCTTTGTTTCAAAGCTCGGTTCCCAGGCCAGCAGTGGAAAAATACTGACATTCCAAGATGGAGTCCAGCACTAGGTGACCTGGTCATATGTCCCTGTAGTGTCACAGCAGCCATTACTCGGAGGCTGTCTGGAGCGTCCTCAGGAAGCTTCTCCTAAGGCCCATTGTTCTCTCTAATAGCTCATTAACGCGAAACGGCCCTTCCCGGCCAGGCATCTAGATTGAAAGCCCAGGAATAGCGACATGTGAAATAGATTCATAGTCAATATTCATCACTTCAAATACAAAAAGGATACATGCATACAAATGGGATAATCATATTCAGCAAATCATAACCTTTCTAATGACACCTCACATGACTTACCTTGCATAAAATACATCATAATTATATCCTCATAATATCACTGTGAAGAATATGGGGTGCAGTATCACCGTAATGCCTGCAAGGGACTCAGCTGGAGGGCAGCTCGCATGCACGGGGGGTGCTAGAAAGGCTGCCGGGGGATGTGCTACCATGGGACACATGCATGTAAGTTATATGCAGTCATGCCATGCCTAACTCCATACATGCTGCTGCTCTGGTTTCCGGTGTCTTCTCAAACACCGGACATGGTGAGCACCACTAGAGGGCTCACAAGTTATTTAAAGGGATATTACGCTATTCCTCAACATTATTGTTACCAGAGTCCTCAAGTCACCCAATGAAACTTTGTTCTGGCTAGATATTGGTGACCAAATGCCTCCACTGAAGAATCCAGGGTGGCAAGAGGGGGGACTCACATCAGCTGACGTCGGTGGGTTGAGTCGTCGTCACCCCACATCCTGATTTGCTCTGCCCTGTACAGCCAAGGAGCCATCTTTCCATTGGTGAGATCCCCTGAACTTCCTGTGTTTGACAGACCAGCCTGGTGTACGCAGACGAGGTGACCACCCGTTCTCCGCCCGTATGCTGCTGCTCATCCCTGCCTTGTATGTCACCCGCCAGTGGAAGGAAGTTAAAGATCTCTTCAGAGTCCTTCCAGGGCATGATCCTGGCCAACATCCCCTCTTGTTAAATCCACCTCCGAGAAGTGGTGTCAGAGTCATCTCAGAAGAGCACGGCATGGCGGCTACATTTGCCTGTGCTATCTAACTCACTGCCTTGGCACTCTCAAACGCTATGGCTGAGGGAGCAGAGCCTTAGGGTGTCAATCCCTCTGTTCTTTATAACCACAGGTTCACATCTCAATAAGGCCAGCTTAGCCCTTCACGGGGACATCTGCTAAATTCCAAGCAATTTTATTCTGTGGCGCTTAGACCTTAGAATCCCAAGTGCTGTCTGCTAATTGCTCCCAGGGTGGGATTGCCCTACTTTCTTCACGCACAATGTCTTCTTCCCCCATTGTGCAGTACACTGATGGAAGCTGACCTTCACCCCAGAGGTGGCTGCTTGTCATTGATCTAGGGCTTTGGCATACTGGAGGATTTAGGGCAATCTAGAAATCCAGATTTTTCTTTGGTTGTGTCCCTCTTACTACAATCCCAATGCTAGGATGAGCCAGAAGGTGATACCCCCCCATGCTACAGTGCCAGTCTATTAATCAATGGGGTGTTATCATCTGCAACACTGCGTTCAGAGCTGGTCACCCCATCTCCGAAAGGACAGAGCAGGATTACAGGGAGCTCGGAGGTGGGTAATGAGAATGATTAGAGGCAGGGAAAAATGGCCGAGAAGAGAGTGAAAAGAGTGGGACTGTTTGGTTAAGAGAGGAAACCCAGCAAGAGGGGACATGATGGAGGTATGGAAAACAGGGAAGAATCTAGAGGAGAGAAACTGGCTGCTTCTATTTACCTCTACTCATAACTCAAGAACAAGGGGACATTCATTGAAATGGAAAGGCGATACATTTAAACCTGATAAAACACTTGCCTCCACCACCTATAATTAATCTGTGGAACTCACTGCCACAAGACATTGCAGACGCTAAGAGTTTAGTGGTGGGGGGGGTCAGACATTTCTAGAGATAATGGGCTACAAAAGATAGGATTTTTCTTTAAAACCGTCCTGCTTCAAGGCATCAGCCAAACTTAGCTGCCAGGAGTCAGGAAGGACCTTCCTCTACAGGCAGGTTAATCCATACTCATCCTGCGTTCCTTGAGCCTTCCTCTGAAGCAGCTTGTGCTGGCTACTGACAGAGACAGCTCAAGGGACTAGATGGACCATGGGGTGATCCGGTGAGCCAACTCCTGTGTTCCTACCAGCACGGTCAGGCAGGGAAGCTGGAGCGTGACTTGGTGGGAGCAAAGCCTGCTGAGGGACGACGGGCTGGATTCTGCCCTGACTTACAACACACCGGCATGGCTGTGGAGTGTCACTTACCCCGTGCTGAACACAAGGCAGTGGAGAATCAGGCGTGTGCCGGGGGGTACGGCCTTGGGCAGCGTTTGGCCCAAGATGTCTGTACTAGCTGGGGCTTTCAGAGCGTTTCCAGCCGTGCAGCTCCCCAGTCGCGGCCAAATCTGAGCCCCGTGACACCAGGGTGAAAACTCCCATCGGCAGCAGTGGGGCCCGGATCTAGTCAACTCCTAGGGCCAAACCCCTCCTTGGTGAGGGTGGCTCCAGAGACGAATTTGGTCCTAATGCTTCAAAGCAGCCCGCTGTGAGTGGGGGAGCTTTGCTGTCCTTGCCCTAGCCAAACAGCTGAGCCTGCCGCCT